AATTTCAGGAAAAAAAGTGAATAAAGTGTTTCTTTAATTTACAAAAACATTGATCAACATTTGATTAAAAGTCGACAGATGTAAAAGTTGGATCACTAATTAAAAAAGCCAAAAATAATTTTATTTCACCAGTGGCGTGCGACTACAAATATATTATTTCTGTAAATTTTGAATCATCTGTAACTTTGCTACTGATCGAGATCAGTTCAATGCTAATATTAACCTTTTTGGTTAAAATCTGTAATGTCTCAATTTTTTTTTCATACAATTTGGTACATCCTGTACAATATGACTTTTAAAATAAGGCTCTCAAATAAATTTAATATTATTAATATTAAAAACAATTAATGTGCCACAAGTAAAATTTGAACGATAAAATGTCTAACTGAAAGAGCTCTCAATTTGAAATAATTATATCCCTTTAATCAAAGACTTGGATGTAGATATTCATATTTTTTTACTAGAAAAATTACAACTTACAATATTATGTAAGAATTGTATTAAATTTTCTCCTCGTCTTCAGAGTTTTCACCGTTTTCTTCAAAAATTGGCTTTGGTAAAACAGTTGTTAGAGTGTGCTTGTTTTTGCAAACTCTTTGAGCCATGAATCATTACAACCAATATATTTTTTTTGCAAGAGCATACTTTACATCTGCAACCTAAAACAACAAGTAATCTAGCATTACTATTTAAAAGATTAATTGACATTGACATAGGTGTATAATCTGATGACGAAGTTTCTTCTATATATGCGTGAACGGTTTCAGATTGATCAATAGGAGGCAAAAACAACTGAAGGTACGTTTGCCTTTTTGGACCTTTGGACCAATTTGTTCAGCTAGAGTCCTTTCTAGACGATCAATTATACTTCGATTTGAGTCTAACCCGTCAAGGGCCTTATATTTGCTAAATATAGATGTTGTGGAAAAGCACTTTCCTTTTTCCGTTCCAGCTTTTACATATTGTGATATATATTGAAATGGTTTGTCGTTAACAACGTTCTTTTTTAACGATTCATTTGAATTTGACATTTCTTCTTTCTCAAAGCGATTACCAGACAATCTGGGTGATATTTAGCTTCCATTGCTATTAGATCGTTTGTTCCTATTCTTTGTAGGACATCAGAGGAAAACGTGGCAATATGTTTAATTTTGTTTTCAATGTTTTTTGACATTACCTGTGACAATCTTTTTTGAGCAAGGCGTTTTTGACAAATAATGTCAAACGTTCCTTTTCAAAGAATTCTGGCCACTACAAAAGGTGGTGGCACGCCAGTACGATCATATTCTGCTTGGCTACTCACTTTTTTTCTAAATATTAAATATTTTTTTTACTAGAATAAATAATGTAACAATTTTTGTGCCAGCCTAAATTCTCATAGTCAATAGCCTTGTGTATACCAGGATCTAAAATTTTATTAATATCTCTAATTTTTGTAGAGTTAACAAATGTAATAAACCTTTTCTGTGTATGCACTACTATGTCTCCTCCCTTTTTTTTTGCAAATTATACATTGTTCTTGGTACTTTATTTTGAATTGAACCAATGTATCTAGATCACTTTCTGAACTAGATGTATAATCAGTACTTTCCATTTTAAATTTGAAATACGACTTTTGCACTCAAGTTAGTCTTTCTTGTAGTAATATTTGGTTCTAGATAGGAAATTTTGTAATAAAATAACACTTCAACCACTTAACATTCACCAGTCGCTATAGTCAAACTAAAAAGAAAAGTTAAATACCTTCATTTTACACTAGGATTGTAAGACAAAGAGACAAAGCGAACCAGTGGAAATACAACACCCGATTATATGACGGCAGATCACGCTGTGGGAGTCGTCTTAATTGGTGCGTGTTATACTAATTGCCATAATATGATTATCATAAGACATAAAAATATAGTTGATGTTTTGTTATGATCTGCACACATTTTAGAAACTTTTATAAAGAGTAACTTTTTGTGTTTAAAAAGCTTGTTTAGCTAATTTTTTTTAATGTATATATAAAAAGTACAACTTTTTTCGCAACTTTTTCCTAAGATAAACCCGAGGAAATCCCATTTTTAGTTTTTTTTGTGCCGTAAGCCCCAATGGTTTTTTAAATGTTTAAAATAATACATTTACGTAACTGGTAAAGGAACTTTTTGGATTTTACGGTCATATTGTAGTATAAGTTATGCTTTATGCAATGGCACCAATATCTCGTTTTTTGAAAATAGTGCCCTTCTGCAAGGTCTAATTTTGGATTACTTCCGGTTTTAGAATCTCTAAAATATTAGTTTTTAATTCATTAACAATTTAGCTTGTGACACTTAGTCCCCTACAGAATTCATTTCTAGAGCGCTTTTGTTACAAATAGCACCACGCTATTATATCATTCCCGTAAATTCTGTTTTCCAGCTACCTCATGGAACAAACCCGAAATAAAAAATCTTATGTGTCCAACACATGACTTTCCTATCTAGTTATTACAGGCTTTTTTCGGTTATTTTGTATCACTTCTGTAAATGTTAAAGGATAAAATAAAAATATATACATGTTCCACATACATCTTACTCGAAACATTTTTTAAATATATTCATTGCCAACGAAAATACTGAAAAATAAAAATTTTACACATTTCCTTAAATTTTTCCATTACAGTCCATTTTAGAGAAATTATTTATAACACAAAAATTATAAAGAATAATATTAGAAGTAACTTTTATGGAAAGAATTTTCTTCTCCAAACATAAATAACAGTTATATTCTATGAAGTGCCCCTTAGATGGTCCGACTCTGCCCAAAATCTAATCAGTTCACCTGAGGTTGGAATAAAGCTTAATTTTAAAATTTGATGTTTTTCTCTTTATCCGTTTTTGAGTTTTCTTCAAAATTCGAAATTTACACTTTTTCTCAAATATCTCGAATACGGTCCATTTTAGAGAAATTAAGTATGGAACAAGAATTATAAAAAATAATATAACAACTTTTATTTGAACAATTTTCTTAAAAAATTGAATTTTTTACATTTTGTCAAATTTCACGAATACAGGCCATTTTAGGAAAATTTTGTATGCAACGAACATCATAGAGAATAATATTAGAAGTAACTTTTATTTGAAGAATTTTCTTCTCCAAACGTAAATAACATATATTCCATAAAATATAAAAATTAGCCTCTATAAAGTACACCCCAGATGTTCTGACTCTGCCCAAAATCTAATATGTTCACTGCAGTCCGGAACAAAGCTTAAGCATAAAATTTAGTGTTTTTCTATGTATCTTTTTATGAGTTATCGAGTATACAGACACACACACACACATACATCATCACGAAAATAGTCAAAACGGATTCAGGAACCCCAAAACGTAAAAATCCGTCAAAAACTCGAAGTCGAAAAAATCATGATTCCTATACTTTCCTTATCTGAATACAGATAAGAAAGTAAAATTGAAAAAAAAACATTTTCTTTAACGAAGAAATGTGTGTCGCTGTTAATCTCCAAGACAACATTGATGAACTCATTATAAGAGTAAATTTTGCCGACAGTCCTGAGAGTGATATTTCAGACTTCGATGATGACTTACAATGACTTATCTATTGCGTCAAATTTGTTTATTTGTTAACTTATAAATTTGTAATTTTGAAATTCATTGTTTATTATTTATTATTGAACATACAAATTTTAAGATAAAATTTAAACCCGTGTCGAAATTTGCCTGAGACCGGACCTGTTTAATTGGCCGATCCCAGCATAGCGACGGCTGACAACGGGGCACTTCATAAGACTTCACACTGACTTGTCAGTTTGTCTGGCTGGCACTAAGAAACATTTCCTCCTGCCCTGCAACCTACGAAAATATCTACGAATTTTTGACAGATATCAGCATTCCATTACACATTCCTGACATTTTTACTGTCTATAATAATTAATGGATTCAATTATATCACATAACATTTAGTTTAGCAATTACAAGACGTTTAGGATTAAAAAAGTTAAAATTTGACAATTTCACGTTAGTTTTTGTGCATAGTCATAACATCTGGGGGGTACTTTATAGAGGATCATTTTTCAACTTTATGGAATATATGTTATTTGCACTTGGAGAAGAAAGTTAATCAAATAAAAGTTGCTTGTGATATCATTCTCTACAATTTTTGTTTTATACATAATTTTTCTAAAATGGTCCGTATTCGAGAAATTTGACAAAATGTACAAAATTCGATTTTTTAAGAAAATTGTTCAAATAAAAGATTTCGTTCTCTATAATTTTTGTCCTATATACGATTTTCCTAAAATATTTGAGGAATTGTTCAAATTTCGAATTTAAAAAATCTCAAAAACGGATAAGAAAAACACCAAATTTTAAACATAAGCTTTAATCCATCCTATGGTAAGCTAATTAAATTTTGGGCATAACTGAAGAATCTGGGGTTACTTCATAGGGTGTCAATGTTATTTACGATTGGAGAAGAAAATTCTTCAAATAAAATTTGTTTGTGATATCATTCTCTATAATTTTTGGTTCTCTTCATGATATTTCTAAAATAGACAATGGAAAAATTTGGAGAAAAGTGTAAAATTTTATTTTTTCAGCGTTGGCAATGAATATAAAAAAAATGTTTTAAGTAAGATATGTGTGGAAAATGTATGTACCCTCTAAACATTTACAGGGTTGATACAATAGGATGTACAAAATAAATGGAAAAGCCTGTAATAACTAGACAGGATAGTCATGTGTTGGACACATCAGTTTTTTTCACTCTAGCATATGGGTGCGATTAAAAACGTTGTTTTTATTAATGGACTGATATATAACTAACATTTTGTATTAACATATATAAAAATTCCTTAAAGAATTGATTTCACGAACCGTATTCATGATCTAAAGTTTCTAGTTTACAAATTTGCATATTTTTTATATTTATATCTAATCAAAGTAATTTTTTTAAAATCACATCAATAATTCAATTGTGTCATTATTATCATTCTGTGTGAATAAATATTATACTCTACCTTCGAATTTTTTTTGTGACAAAATAAAAGCTTCATTGTCCTTCTGATCATTGTTCTTTAATGTGTCAAATAACGACTGAACTTTTTCTAACTCTTGTTCTTTAATTGTCAATGCTTTTCCATCATCTTGCACATTCCTTTTTAGCTGATCAAGCTTTTTTTCTTCCAAATTTATATTTTCTTTAATTGATTTTACAGAGGCATTCGATTTTGCTTCATTTTTTTCTTTCGCTTTGAGTTTGGCTTCCAATTCATGCAATTGTGCTGTTATTTCCTAAGAAAATATATTTTTTATAATAAATTTACGATTGGTAACTTTTTAACTTACTGTATTTGCATTACTGGTTATTTTTTTGATATCTTCATCTAACTTCTTTGTTTTTCCTATATTTTGTTCAATTTCATTTTCAAAACCTTCTATTTCTTTTTGAGCAATCTCTAAATTTTTTTTTGCATTTAAAACAGCATGTTTAGTTTGATAATACTGCCAGCATTGATATAATTGTAACATCTTTTCCAATTCTCTGTCTACTTGTTGATATTCAAGGTACAGTTCACGATCTTGTCTAAGTTTTTTCAGTTTAGGAGCTATTTCTTCATTGAAAATCTGTAAACAAATTGATAAAAATGATAGTGAGTAAAAGAAAATTATGTACCTACAAAGTGGTAATTTTTACAGGGAGACTATCAGTGTCAGTGGTAACAAAAGTGAAACACCAAAAAATAGTTTGTAAATAAATCTGACCCTTTTACTATCCCGTAGATAGGGTTATTATATAATGAGTTCCAATTAAATTTCCAAGTAAATTGATCGCATTGCACACAATGGATATAGGATATAGAATAACCGAGTCATACAAAGGCATCAGATCAAATATTTTCGATACAAATCTGATCTAATTGCCTGAAGATGTGCTTTGCATTATTTTATGTGGCTTATGGCAAACATTATATTGTTTTCTTGTCTTCTTTAAAACAAGAACCTGGGAAATTGTATAGGTAAAATCAACTAGCTGCAGATTTTGACATAGTTAAACACTGGCTGGATTTTAATAAAATAACCTTGAATGCCGATAATTTTTTTTTACATAGCTTTGTTAATAAACAATGCAAATAGATCTAGTTTTAATTGTATAAAAATAAATGAATCTGATACTACCATTAAAAAAAATAACATGATTAAGAGTATTTGGATATTATAGTTGATAAAAATCTGAAATGAACTAATTTAATAGATAAATTAGGTACAGATAATATGAAACAATAATTTAATATTTCATATAAAATTAATTATTACCTATAGATTATGGAATATTGGACATTTCTTTTTTTTAAGGGGCCTTTGCTCCAGAAAAGGTTGGGATAAGAAGTAGGGACAATTGGGAATACCCAATTTTTTTTATTTCAGAAATTGATATTTACCTATAAGCACAGGTTTTATTCATAATTTTTTTTAATTCATTCCCGATTTGAAGTTTCAAGTGTCACATTCGTTATTTGACATTTGGCAACATTACCTAGTAATGGATGACAGATGTGAAGGGTCCAATGTCATTATCTAAAACGGAGTAATTTCTAGACATTTGTATTGGTTTACAAACTTCTATCCTACTGTAACTGATTATTGGATTATAATCATTAAATAGTAATATTGAGAAAATGGTCTAATTTAAAAACCTAATGAGATTAGGTGTTTTGATTTGTTATAAATAATGATTGCTTGTTGATTGATTTTTCTTTTTATTACAATATCGCTGTTAAAAAAAAAGCATATTCAGAAGTAATCCAGGCATTTCTTGTAGTTTAGGGTTGTAATCTAATCTAATTATTGCTTATACACAAATATATGGGTTAATCCCGATGCCAGTCAACCACTACACACACACACGCACACGCACACGCACACGCACACGCACACGCACACGCACACACACACACACACACACACACACACACACACACACACACACACACACACACACACACACACACACACACACACACATACACACACACACACACACACACACACACACAAATATAATAATTAATAATAATTTTGCTGCTTTATTTATATTACACTAAATTAGTATGTATATAAAATACATATACAGGGTGTTAGTAAATAAGTGCGACAAACTTCAGGGGGTGATTCAGCATGAAAAAATATTGACAGTTTGCTATATAAACGTATGTCTGAAAATGCTTCGTTTTCCGAATACGGGGTGTTAAAGTTTTTCTTAAAAACTGACAATTTGTTTATTGCTCTGAAACCGGTCAAGATATGCAAATGAAATTTGGTGGTTTTTAAGAGGTAGTTATTCCGCATTTTTTGACATGCAATTAAGAATTTTATGTTCATCATTGGCGCGCATACGGGTAATGATCTCAATTCATTTAAAGAAAAAAATGGTACGCCACTGAGATATTTCAAATTAAAAATCATTTTTGAATTCCTCATTAAATTTGTCACAAAAAATATATCTGGCCTTTTTTTCTTGTGGGGCGCCGTTTTTATGCAAAAAAATAAAATATCTTAACGCGTATTTTTCATTTCTTTAATACATTATCAAGAACTATCTAATACAATAACATTAGACTAAAACAATAACAGAAAATGACACTAATAAAATTTTAAATAGGCGCAAAGCTACAACAAATGCTGAAAATGACCTCCCTCAGACGTGAGACAAGATTCAACTCTTCGCCGCATTGATTGTCGTATTCGCGCAAATTGTCCTGGTGTATTTCTTATTGTCTCACAGCGGGCTATAATTCGGTTCCTCAGGTCTCCGACATGTTCGACGGGAGTGGGATAAACTAGTGACTTAAGAAAACCCCAAATGCAAAAATCCAGAGGATTTAAATCGGCGATCGAGCAGGCCAATGTTCCGTATCTCCACTACCTATCCAACGATTTGCATATACTGCATCTAAATGATTTCGTACATCAATGCTAAAATGGGCTGGTGCACCATCATGCATGAACCATAAGTGTTGTCTCAGCTGTAGAGGAATTTCTTCAAGAAGAACAGGTAACTCTTCCTGTAGGAAATCAAGGTAAGAGTCGCCTGTTAGTCGTTGTGGGAGGAAATATGGACCGATTAAATGATCATCAATTACCCCAATCCATACATTTACCGAAAACTGATGCTGAAAATGAGCTTCAAAGATTCCATGTGGATTTTCCTCAGCCCATAAGTGATTGTTATGGAAATTTCGTATAGACTCTCGACCAAAATTAGCTTCATCAGTAAACAAAACTCTATTTAAAAAATTAGGAATTTGAGCGATTTGATGAAGAATCTGTGACGAAGTCACTAAATTTTATTTTTAATTCATCTTAAAAATGTATATTTCAATTAATTCCCGTCTGAGAACATGTAGAAGTTCCCCCGTATTTTTGTTTCCCAAAAATGACCGATTTTCAACAATTGCGAGTACCCTCGTAGGTTAAAATATCCTTTTATTTGCCGAAATCCGAATGGGCATTTTTAGAGTCGATTTCGTATGAATTATCTACTTTTAATTGTCAAGGTACAAGAAGGACATTTTTGTATTTCTGAATTGTAAACAGTCGGCTGTAGTAGTGGTATCCCCACTTTGTCGTACTAGTCTTCCATCTTTCTTTACCGAAAAAGCATAAATTGATGGAAAGCTAAAAATGCCGCCTCTTGACTCCCGAGAAGTACTGATCTTTCTAAAAATTATAGTGACGACGCCGTATAGTGCTGTGACCGTAAATAAGTAGTTGGTTAACCCGTTGGATTTGTTAAGGTAGGAACCGTATATTTTTTTATATTGGCTTTCATATAATTAATTGGGACACCCGTGTTACAAATCAAGAATTTTGATTCATGCCCAGCATTTTTTATTTCATTCCTTAGTGGAAACCGTTGGCAATTTTTTTATAAGCACCCAGTATTTTTCATGTAAATTTCTCTTTTCTTTTATTTACTCATTCAATTGTATTTGAATCATTCCGTTCTCCGTCCACAACTAATTATTGAACGAAGCCGACGATTTCTGTAAAATCAATTCACACACCGTCAAATCTCAAAATAATTTTTACGTTAAACATTGTATTTTTCTCCCAAACACCGCGCTGAAACCTATTCTCATTCAATAATTACCAGAGCGCCGCCGATCGCCTCGTCTAAGATACAGGGACGTTCCGAAAACTTTGATTTCATTTATTTGCTTGCATTTAATAACAGTCGTATTTCAATTGTTTTCGAGTGTATTAATTTATTTTTAATAATCCATTTTCGCGTTAATCAGGGGGTGATAGCGGTATTCGCTTGCTTCCCCCTGTCGATGGTCAGAGCTGTTTCAGCCCCTAGTTTTTTTTTTGTTTTTTAACAGCTCGTGGGAAAGGGTTTCTCTCTTGTGGAAGCTATGGACTACCAGATGTCTGCATGAGAGAAACTTTCAACCGTTAATATTTAATTAGTTTTCATTGATAATAATTTATTTTTAATCAATTTTCCGCATATAGGGAGCCGTTAATATTTAATTAGTTTTCATTGATAATAATAATTTATTTTTTATCCATTTTCCGCATATAGGGAGCCGTTAATATTTAATTAGTTTTCATTGGTAACAATTTATTTTTAATAAGTTTTCGCATATAGGGAGCCGTTCATATTTAATTGCCGTTGTATTATTAATTTTTGTAAATATATATTTTAGTACCTATTCCTGTGTTTCTCTTATTACTGGTTCTTAACCGTTCTCTTTCAGGGTACCGTAGGGTACGAGGTGTAAAGGAGATAAGTGTTTTATTTTTTTGATTAATTCTAGTATAGTGATTACCTAGCAGTGACCGCCTGGAATTATTTTTACCTCCACTGAGTTCACCTTGAGTACACTCTGGTGTACCACAGGGTCGCAGAGCAAACTGCGATATCAAAACTGGCGCCTGAGCAACTCCTATTTGGGAATCACCTTCATAGCGCCACACAGACTCGCTGATTCACTGTAGGTGAACCAGGAGCCTGTCACAAATGGCGCCCGAGCAGGGACTGTACTGCTAAAGGTTTTCCACCCCCGGAATAAGGTTAGAATTTTTTTTCTCTTTCCTATTTCTCCGAATATATTTTCTGTTCATCTTCTTTTCTCAGAATTTTTTTTTCTCTCTTTTCACATCTGTGAGAAAACCGTTCTACCCCGCCATGACACCCCCCACTGCCCTCCGTTAGGCCCGTACCTATCCAAACGCACGAGTGGAACCTCTCGTTTGGAAACCGTAATGATCCAGCCGCATTTTTGGAACGCCTTGACGAAATTTGCATTTCCAAGGGAATTTCCAAGGACCGACTACTGCCGTACATCCCCGAACTACTAACCGAAGAACCCGCCTTGTGGTTCCGTAATAACCGAGATAATTGGCCAACTTGGGAGGCCTTCGAGGCCGATTTCCGTATATTCTTTTTTTCAGTATCCTATCAGTTGGACCTGGAAGCCGAAATTAGCCGTCGATTGCATCGTAGGAACGAACCCGTCACTTCCTACATTACCGACTTGCAGACCCTCATGAGGAGACATGGGTCGTTTACCAGTGAACAGCAATTAGAGAGATTGTACCGTAATCTTCTGCCCGAATAC